ATTGCTAAAACAAACGATAAATTTTATGAAGACTTGTTAAACAACTATCTTATTTTTTGCTTAACAATAACCAAATTTTGTATGAAATAAATATTCCATATTATACCCCGTAGCATAAAACCACCTAGTCGGCTTCAGAAAATAGAGTCCTTGCTGGATTAGGACCCGGATCTATACGATAGGCTATATACGCACTCACCGACTAGGCCAGACAATATATAATGATAAATAAACGCCCATAAAAACAAAAACCGTTTGGCAGAATGAAAAGGTTCCACCCACAACTACAACACCCTCTAGACGTTAACGCCTTAGTAACTACCTATCTCCCCCCTTTTAATTACTGTCTAGCGTTATTTACCCCCCCCCCCCTGGAGTGAAAGTTTCCAAATAAATCTATCGAATAGAGCATTCTATTCAATCAGATCGCTAGGACAACTTAAATAAATTATTGTTTTATACATTTTGACTTAAGGCGATGAACAATGTCATCGATAGTAGCTTCTGGAGCTTTATTTTTGAAAAAATTTTTAAAATTCGTCATGGAAAAGAAAAAAAAGGTAATTCTATCTGAAATGTTAAAAAACGGAAAAAATATATCTAAAATTAGGATTATCGGTTTGTGTAAAGGTTTGTGCCGCATTTAAAATCCCTGATCCCCTGAAATATTCCTCAGCCGATAACTCATAAGTTTTTTCCCCATCTTTTTTTTTATATAGGTTTTCCTGTAATTGATAACTATCAAGTATTGGTGAGTATACTCAAAATCATCTCCAGAAAATCTTTCTTAATTTCTAAATAAAAATATAGAAAATTGAGCAAAATCAGTGAACAAAATGCTCCGCATTATTTATTTTTTTCTTCCTCGCGGAAGTCATTTTTCAATATAAAATTCAATTTATTCTTTAAAAAGTCAGAAAAAAATTTTACCCATACTAACTTTAGGATTAACACACTTAGAACTACGTACAAGTATGATTATTTTTTAGAAGTAAAAATTAACTTAGTTGACATTGTTCCAAATTTAATTTTAATTTTTTGAGGCTTAAAAAAGGAAAAATAAATGTTCGTAGGCTCATACACCAGTTATCAATTTAAATATAACACCTAATCAGTGTCGTTAAACGGCACGATTTGGGTATATTTTTAAAAACGACCCGATTGAGGATTTTAGCCGAAATAATATTATGTAAGCCTCGAAATTTGGCAAATAAAGGCCCAAACCTTTATGCCATTTATACCCAAAATCTCTAGGCTTACTTAATATTGTTTTGGGCTAAAATCTTAATCTGGCCGTTTTTAAAAATCGGGGCCATTAGCGCTAAACCCAATCAATTATATCAATTATTCGTAAAAAAATAAGTAGCTTCATTGCACAGAGGCTCAAGACGCTGTAAACAAATTGAAATTATTTTTTGGGCCAGATTTTATTTAAAATGTTCTTCTTCTTCCTTTTTAATAAATTCCCTTTTTTTTGCTCATTTTAGGATAGAAATACTTTTATTTTTTTGCTAATTTTGAAAATTTCTAAAAAGGTGGAACCTTGTTAAGTTTGAAAAGGCTACCGACACTACTAAAAGAAAATACATCAAATATTGGATAATATCCAATAATAAAAGATTTCGAAGAAGGGTATTAGTTCTTCTATCCTTGAGTTAATATCATTATAGCGATATCAACTGCAGAGATTACCTGTCTCTATACAACAGTTAGTGTCTTCGTGAACGGGGAAGCCTCCCTCACTTGTTTACGTAATGTGATGATTGAGTGAAAATATATTTGTTTCAGTTAACATCACCTGAACTTGCGGATGTTTTCTACCCGAGTTCGATATCCAACTTAGGAAACTTGTTTTTTTTACTATCCCACTTATTTATCATATACCAGTTTGTAGTGGGGGTGTGTATATAAATTTTAATAAGATAACTATCCTATCCCACTTGTATAGATTTTGGACAAGGTAATTTTTTAAATGTGGATATTATTCATTGATCTTATGATCAGTCGAAATCTCTTTATATTTATTTCGTAAATAATGGAAAATTTTTAACCATTAAAAAATAAGATAATAAATTATTTAGAGATGGTTTGAGAAGAGTTCCCAAGATTTTTAATGAACTTAGGATAATTCTAGAATCATCAATTATAAAAAAAAACACTGATGAAGAAGAAGGGGGGGGTGAAACACAAAACAATGAAGAACGTATGTTAAGAAAGAATAATGAAAAAAATATCACCACATGAAGATCAAAAGATAAGAGTATATTTTATTTATATTTTTTTTGCGAATTTAGTCAAAGGTTTTGGCATTTTTTTATACGAAAAAAGATTTTATATACATAAAAAAGGTTGATAAAAACCATATTCTTTCTTTTTTTTTAGAAAAGAACTAATATATGTATTTAATTAGATAGAATATATAATTTTTAATTTCATTAGTATTGCCTTGAAAATTATGTAAATGTATAATGAAAACGAAATTCTATAAATAGATTTTATATAAAAAGATTAAGTTGGCATTTATTATTAAATTTATTACAATGTCATATTTATTTTTTTCTATATTGTTTTAAGTTATTATTGTTCAATCATACTTATTATTAAATATGGTTTATGATAGTAAATTAAAAGTTACACTCATAAATTAACTCCATCTATATTTATAAATCTTAATAAATTAGGAAACAATATATTATTTCTTAAAAAAGGATGCTCAATATGAATTAAAAGCATACGTAGCTAGGGAGGGGTAGGCAAGAAAAAATTCGCCACCCCTTCCTTCAGAAATTTGCCTGTTCTCTTAAATATAATTTTAAGCTAATAAAAATCTCCCCGCCCCCCCTCTCCCAAAAATTTACACAATATATCACTATAAACAAGAATCTGAAAGATAATTTATAATATTTATGGGAAAGATACCACTAATTGTCACCCCCCCCCCCCCTTATAATCAAAATCCTGGTTGCACCAATGATTGGATAAATTTACACTAAATATCCTTTTTCTTTTCTTTTATACAAAGTTCACATGTAAGGTGATTCCGTCAATTTATGATTAATATATATTTTTAAAAGGAATTTAATACTTAAATCTGTAAATAATATCTATAAATTGTTGAAAAATTAATTGAAATTCTGAACTCCATTTTTTTATGTACATGAATGAATGATATTGAATTTCCCTTACTCAATATTTACTTTATTTTTTTTATAAAAAAATGAAATTAATAAAAAAAATTGAAGTGTATTGATACCTAAACCTTCGATTGAAAAATTAAAAAAAAAGAAGCTTTTCATATAAAATGGTGTAAAATAATTTATAATTTTCCATTTTTTTCCGGTGAGCTCTATTGAAAATCCATAAATTGATATAAATAACATCCACGCGGAATCTAGAAGTTTACTCGGACTTAGATAAATTATGAAGCGAACTCTTTGAGATCGGATAAGATCGTAAAAATATTGGTCTACAAGGATTTATATTAGTTATTAGAAATGTTTTAGTAATTTAATTTATGTATGGTACAAAATTGGGATACGGAATCTATTGGGATGGAAAGTCCCTATTTAAAATCATTTATTTACCAAGGAGAAATTTTAACATTTTTTGACCCAAAAATGTATTCCATATGTGTGGACTACACATATCCTATTAATTTTAGACAATTCTAGCCATAAACTTTTCGTTATTATTTTAATTTATATGAAAAATAAGTGTTAGCCAAAAAAAAATGTGTTTTTATTTCCCGTGGGCAATGTATGTTTTTTTTAATTTTAAAAATCTGATAGTATTAAATACTTACCTTATGTAGACAATTTTGCCATTAACTTTTGAAACATTTATAATTAATATATAAAATCTTTGAAAACACGTAAATAAATTATATTAAGTTAAAAATTTCATGGGAAAATTGCCTGAAATTCTTATGGATAGGTATTCCAAACATGATGAAATACATTTTCGGTAAAATCTGATTTTAAAATTTAAAAAAAAACATTAAAAAATGATCTAAAGTAAGTTGATAAAATTTTTTATAATGTCAAACCGTTCGAAATATAAACTAAAATTATTATTTTGCGACTCGATTTTTTTGCTTTGCTATCTTTTATACCTTATGCGCTAGAACTCGAAACCTCTAGAGGGCTCAGGTATGGTTTTAACCTAACACTGCATTAAAACTGATTTACTTTTCTTATACAATGAGGTATATGAATTATAGTCCAACTCAAGGAAATTGCCATTACAAATGCTTGATTTATTTAAATTTCGATGTCTATTTATAATCACATGACCTCTCATGTTTGACGGGCCAAATGAGGATTATTTTATTTATAAATCAATCTAAACCCTTAACCCATATTTCTAACCCTTTAATTCTTACTCCTTACATATAAATACTCGTTTAATTTTAAATATTATTTCATCCAAATTAAAAATAATTTCATTCAGTTCAACATTCCTCGATTTAAGAGATTATCTGTATTATTGCCAATGACATATAATAATACCTACATTGATGATGCATTCATTAAAAGTGTACATCAATGAAAACAGCTGGGGACGGCAGTTTGATTACTCATATCATTATTAAAAAAATTTTAACAAGAGGCCAATTTATTCCTATGTCTGACGCAAACTTTATTAAAGATAATAAGGAAGCAAGTTATCAATTTAATAGTAGCTTTTAATATGAGAATAATTACTATATGGGTTACCAAAATGGCGGGTCCAGTTGATTTGCATTCAACGACGCCTTCACAAAGGCATTATTATGAATGTATCGTCTAGGTATTATATTATGTCTTTGATTATTACGGATACAACTGCCAATTATCGTCAAATTAAATGTTGTTTTTTATACGTTTTTATTTGGTTAACTTGAATTGACTGAAAAAAAAACAATATTTCTTTTTTTTAAAAAAAATCTTTGCTTAATTTTCAATATACTTTGATCACACATATTTTTTTTAAAAAATAACAAAACATTAAAAACCCTTTTTTTCTTCTCCATCTTTTTTTCTTCAGATTATTATTATTATTTTATTTTTTTATATCAACCAAGATTTCTTGAATTTAATTTCATCGAGACTACTCTCAATTTTGGTGGGTTGTTTGATCAAATGATAGTTACTCACGGCAAAACCGGTTTTGATGGACGATTGACATTTGAGATCGACTTTTTTGTTCGCGGCAGTGTTATAAACGATGTCATTTTTATTCGGATCCGAGGACTCTTGCTTCAAAAAAATCTCTAACTTGTTGTACGTCGATTCAATGTTCGGTGGTAGAGTGTTATGGGTGCTATCTATATTGGATTTCTTATGTTCGGTCTTAATTGATGAGTCGCCTAACGGTGATCCTCGAAAAAGCAACCAATCGCTATGCGATATTTTGTTAATCGTGGATCTATGCGATTCCTCAGCTTGTAGAGCACCTAACATAAGATCTTTGAGATCGGACGAAATTTCTACGTTTTCTGGAAACTTTAGTTTTTTGCACATTTCGATTTCATCTAATTCAATAACATATGTTCCATCTTCATCATCTATTTGTCCAGAATCCATAAACGTGTTTGTTATAGGGCTTTCACTTAATTGATCGATTTGATCCTCATAATTAACTTCTTCTACATCCATCTTATCAACGAGACACTCGTCCTCTATATTTGTAGGGTAATTATTTTTTGAAACTTTTCTCACCGGTTTATACCGCACGAAAAGTGGTAGCCTGCCAAATGTAGTTCTAAAAAGTATAATACCTAGAGCCCATACATCAGCCCCTCTAGGATTATAGATATTATATTTAATCATCTGAGGACACCTATAGCCTACGTGGTTGCAGAGCTCCCAAACTAAAGCATATGAATCTTTGTCGTGCCTCCTAGCCGTTTCTAGCCCAATAATCTTGACCTCGTTGCTCAAGCTTAATAAAATATTGTGGCAATTAAGACTCCTGTGGACCAGACCCTTGTCGTGCAAGTATCTCACCGCCGAAACGACTTGAGCGAAATAATATCTTGATACATGTTCTGGTAGTAGGGAAGGATTTTTGGCATTCACCAACGTTTCAAGAGTAATGGGATTAGGATATTTGAAGGATGTGTAATTATTACTATATGAAGGAGCGCGGTGAAACTCAGTCACCATTATTAGCCTCATTCCTTTCGTAGCATCTAGAACATTTGTCTCAGACTCTTTTTTAGACACAATGGAGTAAGGCCTTTCTGTACAAGGTGATTTAATATCCTGATCACAGTCTAGGTAAAAGTCTAGCACTCTACTTATGTTTCTGTGTGATAGACCGATTAATACTGAACTAATGTCTTTTATAAACTCGTTTACCCCAGAAGCTTTTAGTGGACATTTGCTAAAGGCAGAACTAGACAATATAGATGAAAGAAGTCGGCTTGTTCCGTCATTATGGTCGTTCGACATTTTCACAAACATAGAATCGAAATTGTGGTGACTTGAATTTGGTAATTCGGAGGTATACTTATTGGTTTCTACTGTATTTTTCTTAGGGTTGTAAATAAAATTGAGCCAATCATCATTATGATCATGTTTAGCCTTTTTACAACTTTTTCCTACATTATTTCCTTTGCAATCATCTAGAAAAACAGCTGCGGGGTAACGTTTATGTATGAAATGAATATCGCTAGAATATGGACAGTCTAATTCATGATCGGATGTTAATGTATCCTCTGTTAAAGGTTTTGCATACTTCCAAACATCTTTCAGAGGGCATTTGATTCTTAGAGGACTAACTTCACCAGTAGCGGAGGCTATTGTTATGTCGTGAGTGTATTCTGTAAATATATGAGGAGATCCTTGTGGAGAAAAGATAGCGTTGACGTCTTCCTTAGAACTAACCCTCAAAATATTCTGTTCTCCTTTTGTGTCTTCCAATCTGGTTCCTGATTTAGTATAAGTATAAGCAAACCACTCAGCATTTGTCACAGAGCTACAACTTCTTGATATAGAAATTTCTTCCCCACTTGTAGTTAGGAATGTTTTTAGTGTATTTTGAGCTGAGGATGTGTCACCACTAGAAGAGTTTAATTCCATGTATTTATATTACTATCTTACTAAAAAAACATTAATAAGGTGGGGGTTTTTTTCTATTATCTCAAACCATTCTATCTATTGGTTTCGTGTTCAAACATTTAAGTTAAACTCATCTTTTGTGTGGTTTTCTTTTATTTCTAACTTATGACATACTTATTGGGTTGAATGGAAAAGTCAAAAATTATGTTATAAGAGTTTTTGAGGAAAATAAAAATTTAAACGAAACGATTAAGACTTCTTTTTGGGAAAAAAAAAATAAACTAAAAGAAAATTAAATAATGACTTAAAAAATTATGATACCGAAAGATTCGTGTATATTAAATAAATATAAAAGCGTATGACATAATGATGTAATGGAAATGTCATAAAAATGATAACTGATTTATAGGCGTAATAAAATTATTTTAAATTCATTTAAACCCCTCGTTATTATATTTTGAAAAACTTTCAAATTTCAATTTCGTGGAGCAAACAAACCGATCTTTCTTATTATTAAACTACTTTTGAGTTGATAAATATCATCTATCCTATTATGATCTCTGACAAAAGGAATGAATAAAACTATAAAATAATTCTGTTAAATAAAAGTCTTTAATCGATACTTATAAAATAATGTAATGAAGGGGAATAATAAATTATTCAAATTGACTCAATAATATTGACTTTACTTATCACTTTGGACTAGGATCGTCCCATAACGATCCCTGAAATATTAAATTTAAGATATCCAGGATGTCTTTAGAAAGAACAACTAGATTTGTGATGTTTTTTCTTTCTAAAAGTTTGTATTTTTTTATTACTTTTTGGCCGCGTTTCTAGGTGAAAGCTAATAAATCATTATAACTAAAATTTGAAATTCCGAATGGAACCATGCCCAATGGACATTATTATTGTTCGAAATATGTGATTTTTTTAATTAAAGCACTTCTTTCAATGCCCCTTCCCCCTGCAAAAAGTTTTAGTCAACTTTATATTATATAAAATTTTTACAAAGGAAAGATTCTAAGAAACTCAATTGATAATAAAAAGATATAGACAAGTGTTTCATTAATCCCCTCCTTCCCTCTATAAAAAATAGACTGGGTAAAAAAAATTTTATACTACTTTTATATTAATATCTAAACAAAACTTTCGTTGAAATTAACTTCTTTATTTTTAGCTTTTTCTTCGATAAAATCCCCAGAATCTCTTCTACTAAAAGCACGTGAAAAAATCTTAAAAATCAGTGAATAAACACTTTTAATTGTTTCTCATTTCGACGTAACAAACCTCTCCCTAATCCAGACTCTTTATTTTATATGGTTAAATTTTAAATTGTTTTCCGTGGATGTTAAGAATAAAGCCACCGTATGTTCAAATGGCTGCGCCTTGCCCAAATATTATGGATAGTCCCATCTCATAGGCCACCGCTTGTTATTTTTTAAACCCAATTAAATGGGATTTGAGAAAATCCAAGCGTAGCTCTGTTGTTTTACACAATGCATAGCATAGGGCGTTGCATTTAATTAAATTTCATATATTATTTAATCTTTTATAGATAGCGTGGCACTACTAACCCTACCACAAAAACGCTAACATAGAATACATTATCTATCATATGACATATCAACTCACACTTTCTAGATCACATGACAAGTAATAGGGGTTAATTTTTTAACATCATATTATTTTGAAATATTCTTACATAAAATTTTAAATTATTTTAAAGCAGAAAAAAATTTATGCAAAATATATTATATAATATTTTTATTATTATAATTCTAAACTCGAATATAAACAGTATAGATTATTGGTATAATTTAACATAATTTCTTAATCTTAAACTTAAACATAAAATTTATATGTATATGTTCAGGGTTGCCATGTCTCCCCCCATCAGCGGTAGACTCCTGCAATTTTTTAGTTTACACGCAGACATCTCTCTCCCGCAAAACTATCGCAAACGCAAAAATTTACCGCAATTTTTTAATATTTTAACGTTTTTAATATATAAATGATAATTTTGAGAGACATTAATTGATTCTTTTTATATTTTTATATTTTTAAAATAAATTTTAAATATTTACTCGAAAAACATGTCTAGTTTGTAAATTTCTTTCTATCCTGTTTTATTTTTATCCAATAATAAATCAACAGCATTTCATTCATATAAGTCAGTACAGGGGAGTATATCAACATCGATTGCAATACAAAAATATTCTCAAAAATAATAAATAATACAGACGCAACTACATTTGCGGAAATCGTATACATCTATCATGTAGTTCAACATTCACAGAGCTATACACAATGTGGGGAATTTTTTCTCATGATATTTAACGACTCCAATATAAGTGCAAACCTTACTTGTGGCATAACAAAAATGAGCAAGGCTATCACAAGTGTTTTAGTAACTGAATCCTAGAGGTCAATTCTAGACTTTTGAAAGATGGGCATCCATATACAATTCTAACAGATGCATTTAATAAGGGAAATATTAAAATATTTCTATAGATCCTTCTCTATTTCAACAATAATAAGAACATTTCAATAAAACTGTTAAAATTTTTTCCTCGGATAGTGAAAAATCTAACGGTGCAGCTAGCCACATAATGGTAAATATAGCTGATTCAGGGTTATCAATGATTTGCATGTTAGCTTTCTACGCTGATAATGCCTCTGTAAATTTTGGCTAAAACCATAGTTACCGAATTGAGGCAGCACAATATGAATTAATACCAATTGGCTGTATATGCCATATATTACATAATTCTTGCAAGAAGGTAATGAATGTACTATCTGTGGATGTCGAAATAATTTATCAGGGGTTATCACTAATACCTGCCATAGATAGAATTTTAAAATTTTACCAACCCTTAAAAAAATATTTTTTAAATAAAAATTTTAAAAGCTGTCCTAAAATTTTCCCTTAAAAAAATATTTATTAAAAATAAAAATTTTAAAAGCTGTCCAAAAATTTTGGAAAATTTTTTTGAAGATGAAATGGCAGAAGCTTATTTGGGATAAGTTTCACATATAGGAAATCTACTTCATGCAGTTAATATTCAGTTGCAATCAGAATATTCTTTATTAAAAAAGATTTACAAAAACATGCTACAGCTCTGTTCATCTCTATACAGTAAAAATTGATAATAAATTTTATAGCGCTATTGCTAAAAATATTATATTAAAATGTTCAAATAATATTCTAATTAATACATTTTTAAATGACGCAGATATTTTTATTAAGAAATTTTTAGAATATTTACAATCAAAATTAGATTTTAATAACTCTATTAACAAATATAAAAAATTTATGGCCTTGGAATATAAACCATCAATTGATGGTTTTTATAATTTAATAAATATATTAAAAATACCGAAAGACATTGATGTCTTGTTTGAGAAGATTGTAATTCTCTCTATTTTTTATGATTCGCCAAAATACTTAAAGTTAGATGGTCTAAAAGCAGAGGAGAAATGGGTAGAATTTTTTCGTAATAACGATAAATCCCCATGCTTGGAAAAAATATGCGAGTATGTCTTCTCCCTCATTCTAATGCCTCATCCGAGCGCATTTTTAGCCTGACGAGGACTGCCTGGAAAAAGGAGAGAAATCGGATTGCTTTAATAACATTAGAGGCCGAGCTAATGGTTAAACAAATATATTATATGTCATGCCAGGAATATTAAATATCTCAATAACGACGGTAAACATTTAGTTCTATTATTTAAATCTCAAATAAAATATAATTAAGTTTTAGCAATGACGCCATAAAATTTTTTGTCAATTTTTAACTGTAAAGATGAACACATCTGCAGCATAATTTTGTGAATCTTTGTTAATCTGATTGCAACTACACATTAACAGCATGTAGTAGATTCCTACATGTGAAATCATTCCTAATACTTTACTGCCATTCATTATTGAAAAAAATTTTCAAAATGTTAGGACAGCTTTTATAATTTTTATTTAAGAAATATTTTTTTTAAAGATTTATAAAATTATAAAATTCTATCTATGGCGGGTATTAGGAACATATCGCAACCAACATTGTGCTGACTCAATTCTGTAAATACCATCTGTTTTTACCAAATTAACTGAGGCATTATCAGATCAGAAAGCTCACATGCAATTTATTGATAATCTCGAATCTGCTATATTTACCATTATGGTTACCTATGTCTTTGGATTTTTCAATTTGAGGGAAAAAAATTTAATAGTTTTATTGAAACGACCTTAATTTTGTTGAAATAGCGGAGGATGCATCTGTTGGAATTGCATATGTATGCCTATCTTTCAAATCGTCAAGAATTGACCTCCTGGATTTAGATCCTAAAACATTGATGATAGTCTTGCTCATTTATGTTCTACAAGTATAATTTTCATTCATATTAGAGTCGTTAAATATTATGGGATAAAGATTCTACCAACATTGTGATGATTAGTGTCTCTATGAATGTTGTACTACAAGATAAGTGATTACAATTGCCCCAACTGTAGTTGCATCTGTATTATTTCTTATTGGAGTACCTTATTATGTATTATAACGTGATACGTAATAATTAAGCGCCTATCCCTATAATGTTATACACACACCCACGGTAGATTTCCAGTCGTTTAGCGGGACATTCGCATAAAATGTATTTTTAATTGTAAAATTAAATTCTTTTTTTTTTATTTTATCTTGTTTACATTCTTTTATATTTAAAAAAGATCTGGTTTTTTTTATAAATTAATATATTTTAATAAATCAAGATGTTATTTTATTTTGAAAAATAGTTACCGACTTAGTATTTATATAAACTAATTATAAATAATAATAAGAAGATAATTAAGTCAATCAAAATACTGGCTGAAGGTCGGAACTTTTTAGCGATTTTTATATTTCTACCGCAATTTTCATATTTCTCCCGCATAATACTAAATTTCTCCCACAATTTGTAAATTTTGACCTGGCAACCTTGCTCACGATTGAATAGAAACCTTTATTTTTGTAGAATAGCCTAAGCTAAGTTAATTAATCAATAGCTTGGCAGCTTGAACCGCATTATGGTAAAACTAGTAAATACTAACTACCATCTTCGCACTGTTCCGCAGTTTTAAATGTTTGTTAGCCCATACCAAAGTTGTGAGTTTGATGCCTAATAAAATATAATATTCCCCACATATTAAAATTAGACCAACCTTAGCGAACATCAAACCTTAGCAGGAGCCGTCTACAAATAAATTTAGACCATATCTACTTTTGATTATCTAAAGTTTATGCTCGCACAGCTAAAACAAATAAATGAATGGGTAATATTAAAAAAAAAACTTATATATTTAGCCTAGACAATAAATATTAAAACTTTCCATATCTAGATTATTGTATAAAGATGATAAAAATGATATTAATTAATATTCTGCCATTAAGCTTAGTTATCTAAAATGTTTTATTATTATATTTATACAGATAATTATATATTTTATCAAATCTTTTCCCTACACAGAGCAAAAAAAATATTATTTATAGTTAACACTTAGATGTCCTAGACATTAAAGTTTAATATCACCTTATATCCTATCTAGTTTTTGATGAAAAAAAATAAAAGTTACATATCCAATATTTAAAAGATCTAGATATCAGCCCTCAGCACGGATAAATAAAATTAATACAACGCAGCGCAGGGGACTAAATAACCATATTTCTATTTTGTATAAATCATGATAACAATTAAAATGATCTTCAACTAAAGATTACAAAATCTATAATTGATTAAAACCAAATAATAATTTAAGGATTATAGAAATATTATAAATTATATATATATGGATGATATAAATTAATTCATCTTAATAAGAGAGAAATAATACTATATTTTAAGATAACTAAGCCTTTATTTACTAAAATATTTGCATTAAATAAGAGATAATGTATGAATTAGAACTTTTTATATTATAATCCATAAGTTGTTTACGTCTAGTAAAATCATTTAGCAACAGATATATGATATTTTATATAAGGATAATTTATATTATATTATAATTTAACAGTGGCGTATCCAGGATTTTCTTATAGGGGGGGGGGGGAATTTTCCCTGGCCTTCGGCCAGCTTTCTTCCGGCCTTCGTCCGGGTCTTATGTTTTAGCTACTCTATTAAATTATTCATAATTTAATAATAATTATATTTCTATTTTTAACTATTATTTACTAATTCTTGCTTATGGATATTACAAGCCTATTTTTTATTATTTCAAGTTAGGTATATTATATTTATTAAAGTTTTTTTAAATGTAAGGTTGAAATAAAGTGTAATGACATTTTTTTTATAAAATTTGCTTTAAAAACTAGCCTCAGCTTAAATTCTCATGCAATATAAGTAGAATATAATTTTTTTATTGAAAATACTAATAGTAGTGTGTATAAAATATTGACTAGAAAATAATTAAATTAACAAGTTTTTTTAACTTCTTATCAAATACAATATTATACAAAATATTTTCTATAATTATAATGTGATTTTTAATTTTCGTGGGAATGTTGCCAATTCATCAAGAATTTCGTTTGTCGTTGAAACCAAATCTCTGTGGATATTTAACAAAGCTAACCCATTTAGCCGAGATTCAGTACTTTGTAAATATGTTTTCGACCTTCTCAAGTTGGAAAAAGTCATTTCATTCGTACATGTTGTAATAGGCAAACATGCAAGAATATAAAACAACTTCAAAATATTAGGAAATTGAGCCAAAGTTTCTTTACACCGATTGAGCGCATCAATAGCATGCTCAGGTAAAATAGCTAAACGTAGTAAATATTAATACCACAATTCGAATTCACTGATTAAATTTATTTCAGTATCAATCTCATAGGAATAAAATTTTGCTAAATATATAATTTTATTAATAGTGGCATTAGAAAACGAAGAAGGATCTTTGGGTAATAAAACTTGAAGATAGCTAAAGACTTGTTTTTTATCTAAAAACTGTACTTTTATTTGCGATAAAAAAGTTTCTAAGAATGGGATGAAAATGGATATTTTATAATATTCTTCAGTTGAACCAATATTTATCTTACATCTCAATAATGGCCTAGGTGCTAGACGAGGTTTAATTAGTGTTATAACATAAAATTTAGCCTTCGATTCAACGTCTACATTCATTCTTATTGTATCTACCTGTTCATATATATTTTCCGTCAAATAAATCACCTGAACCAAATCTAAATTTGATTTTTGTAAATTTCTATAAAGTAGTGAGCTATAGGAAAATAATTTATTGATGCAACTAGCAGCAATGATAAACTCTGATTGATCAATTGAATTCAATAATGATATCGCTTCTGACGACACATTACTTTTTTTCATGCTCAGCCTTATTTAACTTTTGTATTTCTATTTCTTCTGTTCTACAAAATAGAAGTAAAAATGTAAAATATTTAAAAAATTATAGATATTTATTAATAATTTAAATATTATTAAAAATACTTATTAATTCTAACTCACTAATAATTTTGAATTTAATAAAATAAATATATATAATAATAAAATAAATTATCGTTTGATTTTAATCTCTTTGACTAAATATTTCTCCATTTTATTAATATTTTTGAATAATATGTTGGAAAATTGATATTCAAATATTTGTAAAATTTTGATTGGGGGGGGGGGAGGTAAAATTTTTATTAGCTTAAAATGATATTTATGAAAACAGTCAAATTTGCGATGGGGGGAGAGGGTATCCCCCTTTCCCTCCCATTGGTAGCGCGCCTGTAATTTAATAAAATAAATATAATTTGCCCAAAATTAGAGTATTTTAATTCATATAATTAATTTGCACAAATAAGATACATATTTTAAAGCAATTTGCATAAAAATCAGAATATTCAGATGTTTTAAGACAAAATTATTAAGCTTAAATATATTAAACAGAAAATAAGTTGTATACATCATCGAGTTGGTCTTTAATGAATCAAATTTACACGTCAAAATTATACAAAAATCAAAACATGTCAACGAGCAGGTTAATTTTCTTATCAAGTCTTTCATATAGTAATTTACTGACTGGTTGATAATAAAATGTCAAGCATTATTAAATGAATATTCTTTTGCCTAAAATTATCAAAATTACAATTTCCAAGGTTGTTCTATTTTTACATTCAACATTATTTTGATTATTGTCATTTTTCGTGCATAAAATTTAAACTTGAAACACGTACACACCTGACACACCCCCATACAAACATCTGTAAATTATTTTAAAAAAATTGTGATAAAATTATGGATAAAAATGGATATAATCGAATGAAACAAAAAACAATTGTCTTATTTGATTTAGATGGAACTTTAACAGTTCCTAGAAATGTAATATTATTCAATTTATAAAAAATATAAATTGTGCTTACATAAGATGATTAAAGATGACATGAAACATACATTAAAAAAATTACGGAGTGTGCATGAAATAGGTATTGTTAGTGGATCAGACTTATCAAAACTAAAAGAGCAAATTGGCAATGAAAGTTAAATTTTTTGAATATATTTAATATTTAAATATTATGTAGTTTTAGATAATTTTGACTATATTTTGCCAGAAAATGGAATTATTGGTTATAAAAATGGGAAACAAATATTTGCAAATGTGAGTTTATTTTCTTAAATATTCTTTTATATATAATGACATTGTTCAAAATTATTTAATACACAAAATATTTCAATATATCAGTGATGAAACAGCCAGGGTAGCAGGGGTTGTGACACAATAAGGTCCTGACTATACACGAACCTACCAGAAAATTTTTTAGTTCAAAAGATAATAACAGCAACTAAAAAGTTTGCTTAAGAGCCCATGCCATTGTTGTTATGTCAGTTATCAATATTATATAAATTGTAATCTTTAAAATTTACTTACTATACTAAATTCACTCAATCATGAGTATAAAAGGAAGTTATTAGAATTAAAAGTATTAATATTATTATAATTTCATTTAATAATTACTTGTTAAATTTGATTTAATTATGAAGAAATAAATATAATTGATATATTATTTTATTATATCCACATTTTGCCAATAAAATTAATCATTTACCTACCAAGGACAATATCTACAAACTATATTATTAAACAATTTAATACATATAATCACTAATATGTGGCCAATTTCAATTGACATTTATAAAATAATGTATTTTACAAATTATTAGTTTTATGAATGAAAGTATGTTGTTAAAAATGGTTTTACTATGACTCAAAACTTTGCTAGAGGCATAAAAATTGACTTGGACCTGAGCCAACTTTTAGGGTCAACTTTATGTATAAGCTATTGAATATAAATTGATTATTTTTGAAATCAAATATTTTTTTCAAGAAAAGAAGTAATTCTTAAAAAAAATGGAAACAGTAAACTACCATTTTCATTTTAGAAGAAATAAAATATTTAACCATTTACCTATAATTTTATGAGTTTTTTTTTAAAAAATTAGAATCTACACATTCGTTATATATGTTACCGTCAATGTGCTATTTTTACGACTTTAAATCATTTTTTTGAGCGCGTTTTTATTAAATTTAAAAATCGGAAATATATTCTATCATATCTGGAATACCTATCCTATGAATTGTAGACAATTTTTACTGTTAATCTTTGAGTCATTTACAATTTATATTAAAAAAAATATATGGAAAATTTAGTATAAATTATATTAAGTTTTAAAGTTAATGGAAAATGTGTTTGAAATTTGGTAGGTATTCCAAACATGACGGCATACATTTCCGGTAAAATCAGATTTTTAAATTTTTTTAAAAAATGTTGACGCTAACATATACAATCTCATGAAATTATTAAATTTAAAAAAAAATACAAACCCGACCCATCAAAAAAAAAATTTTTTTCTGACCCAACGCATCTCTTAAAATTAAAAAGATGAATCATATCCCGATCCAGAGGTTTCAGAATTTTACAAACCTCTACTTTTAAGTTTTTAAGGTAATCTAGGAATTTGACTTCGATCTTTAAACATATCTTATATATGGTATACACCAAATTGTGCTTGAGAATATAGTCAAATATCAAAAACTAGTGTTTTAAATGGCGCAATTTGAGCCGATTTTTAAAAATGGCTAACTCAATATTTTAGCTAGGAATTATATTGCTTAACCTTGAGATTTCGATAATAGATATCCAAACCCTTTGATACATCTATGAGCAAAAGCTGTAAGCTCGCCCAATATTTTATATGGATAAAATATTGAGTTAGCCGTTTTAAAAAATTGGCTTGAATCGAGAGCCGTTTAATAACACTACGAAAAACTGAAAATTGAAAAGCAAAAATAGGCATAAAAAAATGCTTTTATAAAAAAGAGTAAACAAATTTTTCTTCCATTTTAAAATATTTGAAATCCGTTGATCTCAAAATCTAAAAATTGTAAAAATGTTATACCATAACTAGAAAGAATGAGAAATGATTTCTAAGTTTTACAACTGAAGAAATTGGAACTTCTACTCAGGAAGAAGAGGTATGATGCAAGATCATCATCGAAATCTTTCTTTTTTCTAATTTTGAATTGATAATAGGGGTAGGGAAGTAAAATTTGAATCATCTTCTTTCTGCGGGGGAATACCGAGATCTCTTTTCCTGTATTCCTCTGAATGAAGGATTAATATTGAATTCAACCTATTGCTTGCGAAGCTAAACACAGCACAGTTTATAAAATGTTAGTTTTATTCATATGCCAGGCATTGGTATAGCTATATTAGTTTTCTACATTCAAAAAAATATACAATATAAAAACAAAATTATGATAAATATTAATATTTATGTTTGTTTGTCAATGATACGAATAAGCCAACCCACCTAGTCGACCTATCCATCGATCCGACTTAATACGTCGGTTCGTGCTGCCCCCAGGTCAGTTATTTTATCTGCTTAGAGCCCCGCCAAATTTACGGCAAGTTGACTCGACCGGGCTGAACAATTTAGAAATGAAAATAGAATTGTTATCATTAATTTCTAAAGTAAAAATATAAAAAGATATAATGAAGGATTAAAATACATACTCGGTAAGAGAAGCCATTAATAAAAACATATTTCCCTCCCTAAAAATAAGTGATTTTATTTTGCTAAAGTTAGAGGAAAAAAAAGCCGCTAGTATAATCCACTGACATTATCTAACTTATTCCCATCCTGCAGTAAAGAATGACCCAAAAATATAGCTTAATTTGATTTTAAGGTACACATATCTTTTGGTGGCATCTATGAATGGCTGCACCAGTTCTATCACTAGGACTTTATTTGGTCCTTTAGTTTGTGTTGAGGATCTTTCGCTCTACTAAATGATTACCCCCCATTAGTATAAAATGATTATATTTTTATTAATCTCCAATTATAGTTGATAAAGCTTCTAGACAAATTGGCATACAATTTTTTTAAAATTATCAATAAAATTTTTAACATATAATTTCAAAATCGTTTTCGAATTTATCTTTATCTTTTTATACCCCATTTACCTTAACAAAAAAAAACCTAAAAGTTAAGGCAAACTTTATATTTTTACCCATTCAAAAAAAGAAAAACTTAGCCACATAAAAGCACTTTTTTAAATTTTTTTCGTACTTAATAATGCTTTTCATAATTGCTCTCCCCCCTCTCATTTCAAAAAGTTTAGTATTATCAATACCTGAGGCCGCATTCAAAATGGAGACGGATCCGTTTTTTGCATCCGTTCCGTCAAAAGTCAATCTCATTAAAAATGATACATATGTTCAAATGCGTCTGTTCCGATACCTTCCGAATTAAAAACGGATCCGGCAAATTTTGACGTCAAAACATTTTGACTTTTTGATCCGGCAAATTTTATAGAGCGCTATAACGTTACTTATAATTTTTTAAAAATGAAAGTCAATATATATCATTTTTAATGAGATTGACTTTCGATGGAACGGATGTAAAAAACGGATCCGTCTCCACTTTGAATGCAGCCTGTATATTTATTTTTTTAAAATGGCGCTCATATTTTTTTTGATTTTGTTTTAAACTTCTTGTAACCTTACACACATTATATTATAATTTTATTATACAAAATCTATTCGCAGAGCATCCAAAAACAGTTGGGGGACGAAACACTTCAAACCTTCATCAATTACGCCCTAGGATACATGTCAAAATTGATATTACCATTTAAAAGGTATTTTAATTTATATGCCTTTTTAAAAAAATAGATTATGAAACTTAAAACTGCTTACAAGGTGTGATGACCACCCTAAACCGGTTCATTCAACCCATAAAAGAGTTTAAAACGTTTCTCTTCCATGTTAGTGCTTATTGTAAAACAATATAGTTTCCCTTCCTATTATTTAGGAATTTTTTTTATAATATCGGTTCGTTCCGCAAATGGAAATTCAGATCGATCTGTTCATTCAAGATTTTTTTTTCTAGTGTTGTTAAACGGCTCGATTTTTAAAAACCGCTAACAAATTATTCAGCCAAAAAATATCTCGTAAAACCTATAAATTTTTTGTTCATAGATGGCAGAAAGGTTTGGACATCTATTAACCAAATGTTGAGGCTTGAGTAGTATTATTTTGGCTAAAATTCTTAATTTAGAATTAGGTTCGAGCCGTTTAACAATACTTGGTTTTTTTTAACGTATTTAGGATTTTTAAAAATTAATCGTATATAAAATAATATGTATATTTTTAATCGGTATCCATAGAGATATATTTCAAAACTTTTAAAAACAAAAAAATTAAAGCAAAATAAGGCGAATTTCTGAATAAAACAAAATTAAGTAACATTTAACATAACCATATACACTCACATAATTTATTATTAAAAAACGAATTTAAAACAAAGGTCGCATGAAAAACAATTAACGATTATAAAAAATATAGCACATATATATATATATAACAATTTAAAACAAAAGACGATAAAAATTCAATTAAAAAAAACAATTAAGAGATCGGCTTACTTGCATATTGCTATATGGAACCATGAATAGCAATGCAATTACTTTGATGAATAGCCGTCGTAATGGCTTGTTTGAAATAGTGCTTAATCATTTTGAAATTAAATAAATATAATTTTTTAATAACAGTTACAACGGTTCGGGTTTCTCTTTTTGAGATATTATAACGGTTCGGTTATTGTTCGAAAAATTATAACGGTATCGCGATTCGGTTCTACAAATTACTAGTGTTTGTTAACCGGCTCGATTTGAGCCGATTTTTTATAAACGGCTTAACTCGATACTTTTTCCAGAAAAAAAATGTGAACCCTAAGATTTTGTTCATAGAATGGCACAAAGGTTTGGACATACATTAGCGAAATCTCGAGGCTTTGACAATATTTTTTTTTGCTGAAATATTGAGTTAGACAATCCTCCCGATTATTGTGGATATAAAAAGCGAGGAGAAAAAACGATGATATTCCGATATCTTCGGATGTCAATAAGCGATGTTCGTGGGAAATATTAGCAGAGAATTGCCTCGTTGATTACCACCTAATCTAAGTCTAGTCTACACCACTTTAATGAAAGAAAATGTTTAAAATAAAAAACATTATACGTGATTTTTATATTTAATATTCATTAAATTTGCTGTAGATGGGTTTTTCAATATTTTATAATAAAAAAAAAGGTGATTAAATTTAAAAAATTAATATTTTACCTATAACAAGTGTATACATGTCGTATTAGGGACATGGCAATCACGAGGGAATTGGGAATCTTTCAATTTTTTTTAATCATTAAGGGTAATTTTTTAAATTTGAAAAAGTATAATTTGACTGGGAATTTGAAAAAGTATGATTTGACCGGGAATATATTCCGAGAATAACTACCCTGAATTTTAGACAATTTTTTTGCCATTAAAATTTTGCAATATTTTTTCCAATTTATATTAAAGAAATATGTGCTAAAATGAAGATAAATTAAGTGTAGTTCGAAAGTTAACGCAGCGTTGACACTCTTTGCAAACTGGAATACATTTCATTTCCGGTCAAGGCAAATTTTAAAAATTATAATGATCGTTGCTCTCAGTAAATTGATTTAAAATTGAGAGATTCCTAATTCATGCATTTCATATCCCAATATATCATATATACTTATATAAAAAAATATAAATAGTTGACATATTAGCTCATGTCTACTCTGCGTTGACTGGGGTGGGTAATTGTATTTCTAGCAATTATGGGATTAATCTATGTGATGAACCTCGTCTAGGATCTCATAGTCAAATTTGATACTATTGGCCTTCTGCCTATAATTACAGAAATTTTAAATCATATTGAAATAATTTCTAAATATTTAGGGCCTAATTAACAATAAAGCCGAGATAGAAATCTTCTTCCTGGATAACAGTACCATAGATTTAAACCTGACTACAAAATTGCTTAACTTAATAACTTATTTAATATATTCTCGTCTGAAGAATCTCTAACCAAATTGTTTAGCAACTCAGCTTGGATAAGATTCTAAACACTCCCATCACATCAGGGCCTCTACATAAATCCGCAAATGTTTATAATGCCCCTTAGTTATTGTATCTCTTCTCTTTCGCGCATCCTCATTTTTTTTTCTTCTTTTACTTATAGATTGAGTCCTTGAAGGCTTTTTAAAACTTGATCTAGAAATTTTTTTTAAAATCTTAATTTAATCCTAATTATAATTAAAAATGAGTCCTATTTTCTGAAAGAATTGGTAGCATTTACTTATTATCCCTTCATACCTCGGCATTCTCTTCTCTCCTATCTTCCTTAAAACAATTCATTGATAATATTCAACTTAAACTCCTCCAATGATAATTTCCTGGATTAGGCCTTTATTGTTTGTCACAATTCAAGCGGTTACAGTTTTTTTTCAGAAATAATAAGTTTCAAAATCCTATTCCATTTTATCCACTCCTTCTCCTCTTTAAGATATACCAACTCTTACAAAACAATTATAAAATAGATGGCCACTAGTTGTCGGAAGCATTGCCGAGTACAAATTTTGGAACTTCTTAACATGAACAACTAAGAATCATCGTAGGTTACCAACTCCGCTGCGACATAATCCAAAATTGCAATATACCACTGATGCAAAATGTAGACACGTGGTAATCACTGTCAAAAGACGAGGTCGCCAACAGCGCCTTTCATTGATCAATAAATTACTTCAGCCTATTCCTACGGCTTGAATTCCGAATATTTTAGAACCTTGACCCAAAGACCTGATGCCATCATCAATCCCTTAAGCCTGTTGGTTAAATATTTAAGTGACCGCTTTCCCCACCACGAAGTGTGACCCGGTTATCCAATCACAAACCCAAAAAAATATGTATAAAAGCTGGGTAATTTTATTTTTACCACAATAGCCACATCTTAACATCCCAATAATATCTCTTTTTTTTAAAAAAAAATTTCACGATATTCACTTAATTTAATCATTATTTTTATTTGCTCCCCTCCCTCCCCACAACTCTCCAAGAGGAACTTTTATCGAATTTAGACAGGGACTCATAAATATCGCTCCACCCGGGAGAAATTGTTCCCAAGCCGAAAGAGACGAATTCGAAAAATATGACAAGGTTAGTCGTATCGTAATTATTATTTAAATAATTTATAATGTAATCTTGTAAGAATGGAGTTAGTTGGCCTTATACCCCTAATGGTCCAATAAGGGTCAAACTTTTCTGCCATCTATACGCGGAATCCCTATGCTTAGGGCTTCATTTTTTTAGATACAATCTTGATTACGCCATTTTTTTAAAAGCGCCACAATCGAAGTTTTCGATAACACTAATTGCCACAAATTTGTACCGTTTTCAGCGGTTTGTATTATTTGACTCGTATTTTTTTATGGTGCCGAAATAAATAAAAGGATGATACCTCAAAATTATTTTTTATCTGCAATAGTTTACTTAGAAATCGGATTTTTTTTTTCAAAAAAAATAAGCATGTATTAGCCACCTATTTAAAGTTTTTACAAGGAGATCGATTTGTATCATTGCTCTTATCAAGATATTCGCGTTTCAAATTTTGGCGCGAAATACATTAAATCTTTAAAAAAATTAATTAAAATTTCTAATGACTATTGGGTCCGACGGACGGGACGGTTCGGTCCGACAACAGGGTCCGATGGCCCGGTCCGGTCCGACTGAAGGCCGATTAAAAAGATAGTTTAATGAATTTAGTTAATATACATGTTCATGAACATATAAAACATGATTATTCATTGCCTAACACTTTATAATATCTCATTCATCATTTTCCTTTTTTTATTCTTCCGTTTCTTCATTCTTCAAGTAATTTAATTTATTAGAAATAGAAATTGAAATCGATGATAATATTATTGAATCACCACTCTCAGCCAAAGAATAACTATTGATTTAGAAAATAGTATTAATAGTGCAAATCAAAAAAATCTATATTCAAATTTGAAAATATGTTAAAAAATTATATAAATTTTTTGAAAGGATAATACAGGGAAAACATGTAAAATATATCTCCAGATATTTCTAATAAAGCACAAGTAAATTATGCATATATATCAAATTGAGAGCTCAAAGTTTTAAATAAATGAATAAAAACTTCATTAAATAACCTCCTATAGATATGATTACGACTGGAAACATAAAAACCTAAGATAACTGTTGTATTATTCAAATTTTTTATGCTTGTTCATATTACAATTCATAAAATACAATCCTTTTCTTAATTTTGAATAATAATCTTTTATGCTTGAACTTACATCTTATAAAATATAATTTTTTATGCTTTAATATTACAAAATAATAATTTGAATAATACAACCACACACTTAAGCAAGTCCTCCACCTCTTTCTGAGTCTTGAATTATATTACTGCCTCCTGTCTCTGACGATAATGATAACAAAGCATTAATATTATTAACATATAACAATACTAAGACTAGCAAAGGGAATTCACCAGCAGAGATGTTTTTAGGTAGAAAAACAAGAACTGAATTAGATTTTTTGAAAGAAAAAATAAAGCAAAAGGATAATACATATGATGAGAAATTTAAGGTTGGAAGTTTAGTATGGATTCTACTTTTTGATGGTCCAGTTAAATGTGGGAAGGGTATAGTAAGTAAGAATATAGGAAGAAAAAAGGTAGAAGTAGAAATTGAAAGGAACATATGCAAGGCATATTAAACAAGTAAGACCTAGGTGTGTAGGTTAGGAACGATGAGTCTTAAAATTGATGATAAACATAATGTTTTTGTTTTAACAAATCTGAAAGAATTATGAGAATCATAGATGTGGAGAGTTTATAAAGATTAAATTTTAAAAGAAAATCAGATTTAGGTTTAAAGATTGGTATGATTATAGGGTAAAATATATATATGTATGTATAGTTTAATTCTGTTATAGATAGCTTCCTATTTTAGAGTAGGAAATAGGATTATAAAGATAGAGATTAGAGAAATCGATGGTTCAGTAGAATCCCGGAATTGGTTGAATGCCGCAAGGGAAGAGGCTCAACATAGATGTGGAGAAATGTTACAGGAACCCACAAAACGAAGGATGGTCGATAAAAGATGGAACTCAGAAATGGGGAAGAAAAGAAAAATAGAATGCTGGTCATGTGGAGGAAACCATATGATGCGTGTGTGCCCTAATATTTATGTGACTAATAATAATGCTTTGTTATCATTATCGTTAGAGACAGGAGGCAGTAATATAATCCTATAAAGACTCAGAAAGAAGTGGAGGACTTGCTTAAGTGTGTGGGTGTTGTATTATTCAAATTATTATTTTGTAATATTCAAGCATAAAAAATTATATTTTATAGGATGTAAGTTCAAGCATAAAAGATTATTATTCAAAATTAAGAAAAGGATTGTATTTTATAAATTGTAATATGAATAAGCTTAAAAAATTATATTTTTGTAAGATGCAAGCATAAAAGTTTATTATTCAAATTTCAGAAAAAGATTATATTTTATGAATAGATATATAAAGCATGATAAAAAATCAAAATTACCATTATAATATTTCTACGAATTTTTATTTTTATTTTATTTTATTTGTTAAATAAATTTATTTTATATTAATCAATTGTGTTTTACATTAATTAGATTTATTATATATTATCTTTTAAATAAATCAATTATTCTCAACATAGTAGTTCTTTCTCTAACACAACACAACTCTTATAAATAACGAAATATTGTATCAGTATTGGATGGGTAAAAAATGGAATAATTTTTGATTTTTTAGAAGATGATTAGAATATAATCAAATTGATTTAAATTATATTCAATAAATTTGCAGTGGTTTAATCTTTTTATATAAATAATATAATAAAAATGATTTGATGATATTATTAAAATATTAGTAATTTAACATATTTCATTTTAAATAAATTTCACGCAGAATAAAACTTTTATAGGTTAAAAAAAAATTTTTTTTTAGACGGGACCGGACTGGAACGATGGTCCCATGGTCTGGTCCACTTGTCTTAACGGTTCATCGGTCCGTTCTCATTTTAGAAAAAAGGGCTAGACCGTTGCAAACACTAGATTTTTTACTTTTGAAAAATATATCCTGGGAAGAAATGTACTGGTGGTTTGAAAATAACAAAAAATTTTATGTCCGGCGCTGTTGCAACTTAGCTTTTGTTAGGCTTACTCAGCTTTGCCCAATTTTTATTATTAAGAATGCCCGGCTGGCTTAACTCTAAATATAGTAGTTGAACACCAAAATAAACAACTATTTATAATATTGGGGAGCGGTTAAAATTCGCCTTATAGATTATCACTTTTCACTTCTATCAAATATCAGAATTCATCAATAATCCAGCCCAATAGGTTTTGCCCTACCCCACCCGTTAATTTTTTTGCCCGCCCCAAATGAATTTTTTTCAGTCGTTAATGGGCCTAGTACCAGGCTATGCCGAGCATTGAGGACTTCCAGTATGCTCACAATTCAGCAGATTAATTTGGAAAAAGAGAAAATACAGCTGTAGGGGATTACTATTACCGGATAATTGGGTATAAATTCTCCCCCTTCCTCCCATATTTACTTAAAATATAAATATTTTAATTTTGTTTTACCAATTAACTTTATCCTGCTTCACAATTTTTTCCAGATTCATCAGGTGAGGACGAAATTCGTCGAAGATTTGCGGCAAAGATTTTCCGATCTCGGCCTCGTTTTTTCCATAGGTATAAAAAAAAAACTCGCTTAAATGATTTTTTATTTACTAATCAATCGATTATTGATTATAGGATCGATCATTTTATACGATAAATCAATCTATTTAATTACTTATCGATTTCTAATGGAATTTTATCTAATTAAGGTAGGAAATTAATTTGTTGGCGAAATACTTATTTATGTGGTAAAAAGTTCTATTCAAGGAAATATTCAAGTTCAACTGAAGAATATATTTTTTTAAATCGGGTGTAATATATTTAAAAATTTTAACAAGGATTCTGAAGTAAGGAGTGGGATTAACGGTTAAAAAGGTATGGGTTAGGGCTAAGATATATTAAATATAGTTTTAATCTATTTAAATCATTTTTTTTAACCAATAACCTGTCAAGTCTGATAAGTCATGTGATTTATCCGAGTTGGACCATAATCATTTATGCATGTTAATGTGCACGCTCTAAGTCAAGCCTTCAAGACTCTAATTCTTTCCCAAAATATATCACGTAATTATAAATTGAGCACTTGTTCTGATTGGTCCGTCTTCCAATGGTGCTAGAATTAGAGAGGTCTTGACAATTTTTTAAAATTATATTAAATATTTTTTTAAAAAAAATCATTACAAGGTGGACAAATAAGTTTCGACGTTTTTCCGAAAGGATGGGATAAATCCTTCTGTCTTCAACATTTTGACACTTATGACCACGTCTACTTTTTCGGTGACAAAACCATGGAGGTAATAGCAATTTCGACATTTTTAGGAATTTAGAGCTGTTTACAAAATAAATTATATATTTTTTTAGAGGAGTTTGTTTTATGCATTGGAAATAATGGGATTTTTTTTTGAAAAAATATTTAATTTTAATCGGCTATCTGCCCGCAATCGAATTTCGTACAAGTTATCTGGTCCCGTCCTTCTTTCCGCGCCTACCTCTAATTTAAATATCTTCCTTTTTTTTGTATCGAAGTTACAAATTATAATATTTATAGAAAAGAATGAAAGAAAGAAAAAGTTATATATTAAAGAAGGTATCGTTTACCGCTTAGTCTATTTTCTTTTTTGAGCCAGGTAATCTTATGACATTCGCATAAATGTGGATTAACTTATTAATATTTTATAAAATAGGAGGCCATTTTTAGCTTTAGTTTTGTTTTGTTTTTTTATTTGTCGAATTAATAGAAATTAGTGAATTACCAATTTCTCGTTTTATTATTTTTAATATTAAAAAACAACTGTAAAAAATATTCATTCAAGGGTGGCAATGATCACGAAATTTTCATCCATCCAAGGACTAAATCTTTTACCGTAGTTGGGCCCGAGGATACTCAAAAACAGATTAAAGAAATATTTCCCGTCTCGCCTTGATTAACATAAATGATTATAGCATTCAAAATTTTGCACCCAAAAATGAATCGCTTTATTTTTATTGCGCAACAAAATATGCACACAAATTATTGTATACATCATATTATAAAAATGTAATATTTTTTATATATTTTTATTGGGGGGGGGGGGACTAAAAGAGAAATTGGATTTTAAAAATGTTCATTGTAACCCTTAATCAGTGGTTTTAAACTTAATAATTATAGCATACATTTAGGATGTTAAAATGACATTACAACCCGAAACCTTCTAGTAGTTGGGAATTTTCGATATTACCGGATTTTATTTGAATTTATCTTTTATATTTTAAAAGATATCAACCCTATCCCTGGTTTTAAATTGGTGGTTACTTAAAAGGGCTAATCATAATATTTAATTTTTCAAATTTTATTACGTGTTTGCGCATATTTCTTATAATATAAATAAGTTGGAGAATTAAAGAAAAATTTCTGGTTCAGGTGAGGTTTTGGAACCGTTTCTTGAAATTGCTCCACTAAGATAAACAAATAATTATAAAAAAGTATATAATATATGCTATATTTAACATTTTAACAAATAATGATGTAACCAAAACAACATGTGATTCAAAAATTGTCAAAATTAATATTTATTATTATTTTATTTTTTTTTAAAAAATAATTAAACAAATATAAAATTTATTTATCCAAAATTTATATGGAAGATGTTATACAATTATTATTTATGTGGTTTTTTCTATTGGGAAAAAGAAAATATAATGTATCTCAATAAATTTGAAGCTTTGAGAAAACGAGACCGAGATCGGAAAATCTTTGCCGCAAATCTTCGACGAATTTCATCCTCACCTAATGAATCTGTAAAGAATTGTAAGGTAGGATAAGTATAATAATGGTAGAACAAAATTAAAATATTTATTACTATAATCTCACACCTATCTATAAAGGAACATAATACAATATTAAGTTTATTTTATTCCCCTCCCCAATATATTTTCATATTAACAATTTAATAAAAAAAACCCATAAAAGAGTGTCATTCATTCCATAATGAAACTCATAATATACTTATATGTTTATATAGGTAAGGCTAATTGTTTCCACGATAAGTTTTTTTTTTTAAAGTAAAATAAATTTCCTTCAATTTTCTCTTTCTTAATGATATTTGTATTTGAGATCTGCAAAGATCGACTTTAGGGCCGAGCAGGGTTTTCAAAAAAAAATTAAAACGATCTATTTTATATTTGTCAATCTAAAATATTCATATGTGAGTCGTATGGTGGAAATATATTTTAGTTACATTTTAATTTTGTTAAAATCACTTAAACTTATGAAATTTTAAGCAAAAAAGTGTTTTTTTTATTGTTTGCGATATTTTGATAACTAAAAATTATTATGCGTCTCTATCTAGATATATATTTTTTCAAAATGTGTCTATATATAGATACATTAAAAGTAATCTTAATAACTTTAAGGGTAATGCAAATATATCCAAATTAGAGAAGTCTCAGAATACAAACAACATATATTTTTTTGAAGTATTATATTATATTTAAACTTAAGGGAAAAAAAGTACATATGCCTTGAAAAATTTTAATATTAAAACAAATTTTAATATAATTAAGCTAATTTTTTTATTTATAAAACAATATAGCAACGATCATCATATTATAGTATTGACAACCTTGAAATGCTCTTTAAAATAAAAATTCTTCCTGATCTCTTTGAAAGAAGATTTTTTTTGAGAATGTTTCAAACAAGTTTTTTTTGATCAAATTTTACACAAAATTCCAAAACTTTTTTGTAAAAAAAAGAAGTGTTTTATAAGTAAATCCTTTGCGATTTTTATGCACCTAGAATCTTTTCATAATGAAATCATATTTTTTTTTTTAATTTCGTAACCTTCAATAGATTTTTTTGCTGAAAAAATTTTGGGCGAAAATGTTGATTGACAATATTTTAAAATATTAGGTGGACACTGGTTCCTACATCAAAGTTGATAGTTTAAAAAAAATATCGAGAATATAAATGTTAAATCTGAGTTTATGTGTTCGAGCACCTAAGAAATTGAGATAAATATAGTTGAAAAAAGAGAGTTTGGTAACCTCAACTAAAACATGTCTTACCATGCCGAATTGTCATACCCAAAATTAGCATAATAAATTGACCTTACTTGCTTAATGATTAAATTAGCATAATAAATTGACCTTACTTGCTAAATGATTAAATTAGCATTGCTAATTATTTTATATATATAGGTTAGCGAGAAGTATTCCACGAAATTTTCTATAGTGCACAGAAGCTAAGAGAATTTTAAAAAGAGTTTTTAACGAGGAAGTTGTGAACAGAAGCAGCGTCTATACAAAATGAGAAGAGGAGGCATTTGCTTTCATTTTTGTAAGAAAGAAGGGTTGAAATCCAAGGGTGGAAGGGGGTAGTCTAGGAGACAAAATTAGCTGAACTTAAATAAAAAAAAAATAGATAACCAATAATTAAGATGGGCATCATCATGAATATTTGTCCATATTTTTTTTAAATTCTATAATGGCAAATAAAAATAAGTGTTAAAAAGACAAAATTTTACAACGAACTCACAAAGGTAATCAAATTCAAATTATATCGTAGATATTGGTCAAAATGTGTAGAAAACGTTTACAAAAAAAAAAATTATATCTTGTCTTAAACATATCGAAATAAAATTTATATGAGATTATGGTATGGATTCGATACAAACGAAAACTACTGTTTCACAAATTAACTTTAGTGCGAAATCAAATTAAATTTTTAGGAAGCTTTTAAATAAGATACCATACCATATGTGTTGGTAAGACTATATATCAAAAACCCGCAGAGGTACCAGTTGCACGGCCCAGCCCAGATATTTTTTTGGCCCGGCTCATGTTTTTACAAATAATATTCAGGCCCTGTCCGAATTTTTAATGGCGATATATACGGGCCCGACTCGGGTATTTAAAAAAATTCAGATCCGGCCAAGCCTGCCCTGATTATTTTTGGAAAAAGTAAAACACATCTCGACAGGCAGGGTCTGCAGGTCTCTGCCATTTATATAAGATATAATAAAATATCTCGACAAATACTGCAGATAGAAACCCTGAAATTCCTGTTTCCCAAACCATATAGAATTTTCCATTCTAAGCTTATTCATCTCTTTTCACTTCGATTAATCGTCTATATTTATCATTATATGAAGGTACAATGTCATTTAATTGACATACAAACCACTAAATGGCCCTATAGCTGACTCTTATGTATGGAAATTTTTAAAACGCATTCAATAAATGAATCACCAATCCATTAGTACATGTAATATCAGTGATTCCAATACTATTATTCAATAAAATTATTAAATCATATTTTATCCCACCCGTTTCATATCCATAAAAATTCTTAAATAACCAATAAATGACTCCATCTCTACTTTTTTTATTATTATAATTTTTTATTGACTTATAAATATTCATGAACACACAATTAATTTTAAATAATTTTAAACATTTTCTTTTCGTATAATTTTAGCTAAAGCTAGTTGTTTTTTTTAATGTGACTTTTTTTTAAAATACTAAATATCATAACATAATAAATATATTTAAAGAACATAAATAATTCCAAAACCTTGTCAAATTTTAATAATATTAAAATCGATGACTTAACTTTGGATATATAATAAATTACGTATAAAATAATAAATATAAATATGCATTATTACAAATGATATAGTTATGTAAACGAATAAGCTCTGAAAATATAATTTGGGATTTATTTGCAAAAAAAAAAATAAGGTTTATTACAACAAGAAGTTCTTGGTAGTTCATTTTCCATCTATTTTCCCAATTTTTTATATAATTAAACTAGATTCTATATGGTGTGCACAGTAATGTTGTTAAACGGCTCGTTCTGAGACGATTTTTAAAAATGGCTCACTCAATATTTCATCCAGAAAAATATCATCCAATCCCGAAGATTTTGCTCATAGATGGAACAAAGGTCTAGACATATATTATCGAAATCCTGAGACTTAGGGCATAATTTTTCTGGCTAAAATATTGAGTTAGCCATTTTTAAAAATCGCCTCAAAACGAGCCGTTTAACAACACTAGTGCACAGTGCATGTCTACAATGGGCGGGTTTTTATGAGCAGGCATGATTGGCATGTTTATACATTTTAAACATTTGAGCAGGCTAGTTGGGTAAAACATCTTAAACAAAGGGACGAGTCATTAAATTTGATATTATTTAAGGGGCAGAATGAGTAGGAAAGTAGGGTAGTTAACTTTTTATAAACGGCTAACTCAATATTTTCAGCCAGATAAATATTGCCTAAGCCTGGAGATTTTACGAATATATTTCCAAACCTTTGTGCCATCTATGATCAAAATTTTCAGGGTTGCATTAATAATTTTCTGGGTAAATATTGAGTTAGCCGTTTTTAAAAATTGACTTCAAATCGGGCTAAAATTTAAAATTAAAAATTGATTTTGTTTATTTTATTATATTTCATATTTTATAATTTTTTAATAAATAATATATTTAAATAAATAAAAAGCCGACTCAACCTATGAATAAAAGTTGAAATTCTTCTTTTTTTTAAAAAAAAAAATAAACATTAATAAATTTATCAATTTTTCCAAATGATTTAAAAAAATAATAAAAATTTAGAGAGAGAGAAGAAAAAAAAAGAAATTTCCGAGCTACAATAAAAATTTCTTCAACCATTAATCTAACCTACAACTTAAAAATGTATATAATAATTTATCTTAAAAAATACCGACATTGAAAATAGTAACGAATACAGAAAATGACATGGCCGAATATTATTTATAGTTGAATATGTCATAATAAGAGTGGGGGATGTTCTTGTAATTTAATGTGGTCAATATAACCTTCGAGGATATTTTAATAATACCTTTAATTTTTTTCTAAATAATAATTACCTATGTTCAAAAAATATGTTTGCGGAAAGGTTTTGCCAAAATAAAAAGTTACCAAAAAAATATCTTAAATAAATAAAACGTATTTATATAATAAAAAGTTTCTATATTTATTATCTTATAAAATGGAATACATTCTTATCTTCTTTCTTTCTTTCCTTCCTTCCTTCCTTCCTTCCTTCCTTCCTTCCTTCCTTCCTTCCTTCCTTCCTTCCTTCCTTTAATGATAGATTAGATATTAAAATTTAAATTTTTATTACCCAATTTTGTAAAAAAAATATTCCTTAAAATTGGCTATTTTAATTGAAAATTTTGATTAATTATCGAAAAATCGCGCACTTTCCCCCAGATTAGTATATTCTACTCAATGACTTAATCATACTTAGACTGACTATGCATTCATTAAAAGTGTACATCAATGAAAATCAGCTTGGGACGCCATTTTGGTTATCCATATCACTATTACAAATTTTGAACGAGAGGCCAATTTATTTCTATGTCTGGCGCAAACTTTATTAAAGAATTGTCTGATCATCGAGATAATAAGGAAGCAAGTTATCAATTTAATATTAGTTTTAAAAATGAGGATAATTACTATATGGATTACCAAAATGGCGGGTCTAGCTGATTTGCATTCAACGACGCTTGCATTATTATGAATGCATCGTCAGTCTGGGTATTATTATATGTCATTAATTCTATTGACAAAAATATCTAAATTCTAACACAAAAAGGGACAATAAAAATTTAATTGCAAGATATCGACAGTGGTTTGATTGGGTCTCCCTTACTAATAA